AAATATAATCGGAAAATATTTCTAAGTTAATTTTTTTCCTCTACGGAGATATTATTCCAATCATGAAATTTTTCTATTACTTCTTGATTGTTTTTTATTTCATGGCACATAAAATATACTTTCTTCGTTCTTTTATATAATTTTTTTAATTATAAAAGTTTGAATGATTGTAAACATGGAATACGACTTTTAAATGCTAATTAGCTAGGTGATAACATTAAAATGAATTTATTAGATACTGATTATACTTATTATTAAACATAACAGAGTGTTCGGTTATCTTTAACAATACGAATAATTAATGTATTACTACGATTTTTAAATTATTATATTTTTAGTGCGTTACTATAAAGGAAATAAGATCTATGTGATAAGGGTCTGCTTCTATAGTAGTAGAACTGTTACGAAAAGAAAAAAGAAAAAAGAAAAAAAAAAAAAGAGAATAAATAAATAAGTACAGAAAATAAGGAAAGAAAATAAATAAAACAAGCTTTTCTATAAATTCACTTAATCATATGATGCTTGAAGCGACACTTTGTGTGTAATTTTAAGATAACGCATACTTGTATATAGTTGTCAATTAAATTTGATTTTTAGGAAGTAAAAATGTTCTTGCCGTGATAATATGACTCTTTTGAAAGATCCATGTATCGTTTGAAAGAATTAAAAAAAAGAAAGAACAAAAAATAGAATTTGATTGCAACAAAAAAGCATAACAAGTATATGTATACATATTTGCAGGACATTGTAGATAAAGAAAAAATTTTAAATAAGACAAGTAATATATAATATGTGCTATTAAATAAAAAAAATGATAAAATATAAATAAAATATAACTATATTAAATTATTCTATTACACTTTACATACACACACACACACACACACACAAATTTTATTCATTCTATTAATATACATATATATGTATATTCATGTATATATATGTAATATGTGTTGTTTTTATTATAGTGTTTCATCATTTTGTTAAACGATATTATTTAGATTATCTAATATATTATATCTTAATAAAAAAAATGAATCTTGATCAATATCGATCGTTTGAGAAATAGATCCTATTGTCTGTATGTATTACGGTATGAATAAAAATTGTTAAATATAATGTCGAAAGTATAATGAAAGAAAAAGAAATAGTAATTGTGTAATAAACAATACTTATGATTTTTCTTACGAAGGACAATCCAAAGTAGAAATAAAGGATAATATTGTAGTTGCGGGCCGATGCATATCGCGGTGCAGTTCAACGCTTTATTGCATGCGAGAGTAGGCGGCGCTTTAGCGGCGCATACCGTATGCTCCGTAAAACTCGAGCTTTGATTAGTTGACGGTAGGAGATACTAGGACGAATAGCCAATAGGGAAGATTGTTAGGAGGGATTTTTAGAATAGCGACGCCGTTTGTTAGGTTGCCTGGCAGCGCAGTTATGTTCGAACTGTAAATGTAACAAGTTACGAAGTGCTGAAACGATTCTCGCTTAGTTCGAGCCTTAGTGTCAGCGCGTGTTTTAACACCTTACGCAAACATCATGGCTGACTCAGAAAAACAGCCCGAACAACCTAAGGCTGTTCAGCTTAAATTAGTCATCGGTAAGTTAAATACTTTCATAATATTAATATCTTGTCATATATTACGGGAATATAATATATTGAATATTAAAAGAAAAATAAGGCATAGCACGTTGCTTGCAAAGGCGGCCGACTCGTTTCCCGTAATGGCGTCCATCCACAACCGTGGACGCATAGCCATGTGGCTTTTTACCCGGCGTGCCGGCCTCTTACATAAGTGTTATCGCATTGAATTTATTGAAATTATCATTTAAGAATATAATGCGAGTATATATCGAGTTAATCGTTTTACTTTAATATCGTTCGATTGTATTCTTCATCTTCCTCTCGTACGAAAAACGACGAATACAAGTAGTAGTCCTTCTGTGTTACTATGAATTATCCGTTCTTTCCTGTTCGCTCGGTTGGGATGAGAAAAAAAAAAAAGATGGAGATAGATAATAAAGAGAGGGTGAGTTTAAGCTATTCAAAAATTCACCATCGATTTTCTCTTACCATCGAACTTTCGAGAAACATACGGATATTCGTTGCATGAGCACATACAAAAACCTTTCCTTTCCGTTTTCAATATATTCGTCATTTTTCCATCCATCGATCATAACCTTAAAGTAGCACGATACTTTTTCTACATTTTTTTTTCTTAACTTTCGAAATTAAATATATATATATATATATATATATATATATATATATATATTTTATGTATATATATGTATATATATATCTAAGTTAAATGTTTCATTTGCTGGTCGAATATTCTCGATTAAAATCGTTCAAATTCCAAGCAAATAGAAAATGTGGGGGAGTAAACGATGGAAAGGAATGGGGGGATGGGAGAGGTAGAGGAAATTTTCGATCGAAAGACACACTACTTCCGGTTTTTCTATTTTATACCGCGCTTTCGTTATATAAGATATTTCGAAGAAAATCTTTCTTCTAACATATAATTTGTTTAATAAATTAGTAAAATTAAATTAAAAAGAAAAAAATATTAAAGAAAATAACTTTTTTTTTGTTTGTTTTATATCGGAATTTATATATACGTGTAAACAAAAAATAGGAATTCGTTGTGAACAATGTTCAACAATTCCTTTGACCTCTCCATTAAACGTTAGCTCATTTTATTTGACATAAATTTAAACATATATTTATACATCTAAGATTTTAAATCTTTATGAACGTTAGAACCGTAACCTATTTGCTGATTGGTCTACGTATTTACACGTGCCTTTTTTGAATGTTTACATTGTGTATAGAGGTTAAGGCAATACATATACATATACACATACAAATATATTATAATCATATTTCTTAACCGTTTATCACAAATTTACGAAATATATTTTCAAAGTATAGATAGT